ATCTATTTTTATCTTGTTAAAAGGACTGGCAGCTACTTAGATGCAAGAACTATGCTTTATACCTTTTTGGATCTTAAAAAGACACAGCAAATGGTTCATCACATTGCAGATGGTTAATACTTACTGAAATTCAACAAATATTTATCAAATATAACAACATACCTTGCCTGCCAGGCGGCTGGAGATGATTCCATTGCTAGATATAAGACAGTCAGCCAGAGTAGTTTTTCCTGTTAAAACAAAATAACAACATTAACTCAAGTCTACGTCTTCTTCAGAAGGGGTGGGGTGAAAGATTGTTCCTACAGATTAAAACCTGTAAGAATTGGTTTAGCAAAGATTTCTATTTACCTATGCTGGGTGACAAAAGAGACTTAGACTTTTGAACAGAATATGACCTGGAAGCACTCTATAGTGCTGCAATCTTATCTCAAACCCTGTGGATCTTATCAACCTCACCTGAAAAGTTGTCAAGCAACTTTTATTTAAGCATGGAACTTTTCTTAAATTGAGGCAGACTTTGTATAGAGAAAAATACACAGACTTTTAAGAGACGGGCCAAACCGCCATGCCAATCAAAATATAGAACATCTGACAATCAACTTTTATAGTAACTATAATCTGTCCTATAAGAATTTGATCACATTCATCACAATTATTACATCAATCATCCCATATCCATATCAGTGACTATGCTAATGAACTTAAGCCCCTAACAGCACAGAATGACAAAAAGATAGCAATAATTTTTGTCTCTGAAAGGTATACTACAGTAAAACATCATCAAGAAACAATAGGGGCCGGGAGCGGTGGCTCACGCCTGTAATCCTAGCTCTCTGGGAGGCCGAGGCGGGCGGATTGCTCGAGGTCAGGAGTTCGAAACCAGCCTGAGCAAGAGCGAGACCCCGTCTCTACTATAAATAGAAAGAAATTAATTGGCCAACTAAAAATATATATACAAAAAATTAGCCGGGCATGGTGGCGAATGCCTGTAGTCCCAGCTACTCGGGAGGCTGAGGCAGCAGGATTGCTTGAGCCCAGGAGTTTGAGGTTGCTGTGAGCTAGGCTGACGCCACGGCACTCACTCTAGCCTGGCCAACAAAGCGAGACTCTGTCTCAAAAAAAAAAAAAAAAAAAAAAAAAAAAAAAAAAAAAAGGAAACAATAGGCCAGGCGTGGTGGCTCACCCCTGTAATCCTAGCACTCTGAGAGGCCGAGGCAGGCGGATAGCTCAAGGTCAGGAGTTCAAAACCAGCCTCAGTAAGACCTCATCTCTACTAAAAATAGAATGAAATTAAGTGACCAACTAAAAATATATATACAAAAGATTAGCCGGGCATGGTGGCGCATGCCTGTAGTCCCAGCTACTCGGGAGGCTGATGCAGGAGGATCGCTTGAGCCCAGGAGATTGAGGTTCCTGTGAGCTAGGCTGTCCCAACAGCAATCACTCTAACCTGGGCAACAAAGTGAGACTCTGTCTCAAAAAAAAAAAAAAAAGAAAAGAAAAGAAACAATAGAACATAGTGTTCTGCCATATTTCCCCATGTATGGCCTTAGCTGGCATTTGCCAGTTGAGTTGTCTTAAGAAAATAATTATTTAGCAAAGAAATTCAGGAAATCTACCCATATCTCTTACTGTTTGCAATATAGTCTATGGAGCTATATTGCAATATAGCACCAACTACACTGTCACTGACCAATAAAATGTAGTATCCAAACCTAAACCTAGGAAACTATTTTATAACAAAAGAAATTCTTTGTATACTCAGTATATATCTATGGTTACCTTAATTAAACAGACTATGTACAACTAAAGTTGATACAATTTCATGTGGTAAAAACAGGTAACTTTGTTTAAAGAATGCCAGGGGAATACATAATTACTGTAGCAGGGATAGAGAAACACAAGAAGAATATTTCCTTCAAGACAAGTCTTTACTGTACTCTAAGAACTTCAGCAAAGATGTAGAATCTCTGTAACGGTTCAAACCAATCAGAGACCAATCAGTGGGAACACTAAAGAGCTTTAATATTGTGCTGTTTATCATGTAAACAGAACGTATCAGCATATTATCCTAGAGCATCCATTACCTGCTACCCAGGAAAGCAGAATTCTTTCTAGGTTCAGCAAGCATCTACCTCCCTAGAATATAAGTATCAAGAAAGCAGGAACTTTGCTTTATTCATGGCCATATCTATAGGGCAAGAACAATCCTTTGCATATAGAAGACATTCAACAAATATATTTGTCGAATAAATGAATCATAGGTTTTCTGAGACAGTAGCAGTTTAACCTAATTTTAAAGAGAAAATTTAAAGTAATTTGTTACACACACATACCCTACACTTACTTTTCACATCATTTAATTCACAAAGCAAAAAAAAAAAAAAAAAAGCTTTTAGGCTGGAAGCAGGACACCTGTAATCCCAGCAATTTAGGAGGTCAAGGTGGGAGGATTGATTGAAGCCGGGAGTTCAAAATCAGCCTGGGCAATATTGCAAGATCCTGTCTCTACCAAAAAAAAGTAAAAACAGCTGAGCATGATGGCATACACCTGTAGTCCTATACTCAAGAGGCTCAGGCAGAAGGATTGAGGCAGGGGTTAGTCACTGGACTTGTACATAAAATTCTTTCTCAGTTGGCTTCACCTATAAAGTGATCCATTAGTTCTCTTTCTTTCAGTTCCCAAACTTATTTAACTTGCACTTCTGCCAGTCTAATCTTTCTAATGTACTATTTGATTACATCACCCTGCTTTATTTTTCCCCCCAATGGCTGGCTAAAAATAAATGATCATTTTCACAATAAATCATTTACCTTCCTGTCAAGAGATACTCATTATCATTCACATTGGATCTTCATATCCTGTAAGGTAGGTGTAGTTTTCACTCTGTTTTACAGATGCTAGATACTGAAGCTCAAAATGGCAAAGTACAAAACTTGAAAATGGAGTTCTAAATTCAGGCTGCCTAACTCCACGGGTGGAGCATTTAACACTTATCCCAGTGCTTAGCTGGCATGAAGAGCTCTAGGAGACATGACCCAACCTGCCTCTTCACCTTATTCACTAGTCCCTCACCTTCAGAATGGTAGATTGGAATGGGCGTGTGAAATAAAACCTATCACTTTGCTGTGGCTACTCAAACTAAAAAGGGGTTTGAAACCAAGGGCAGACTTAGCATGAAGGAGTTCTTTGGTGTTATAGCAGTTACCTGTCAGAAGCATATACACCATGCGTTGGCTATCCCTGCCCTTCCCATGCCCTGGGCTTTGACCACATATATTTCCTCCCACCTTTGTCAACACATTCCCACCTGTAACGTCCCCATGTGTCATCTTGAGCCCTCCTTCAGGCATCATCTCTAATACTAATTATGGTATGAAGCCTTTTCCCTAACCCACTCCTACCTTCCAAATCCTCTAGTTCTACCACCAACCTTTACAGTCTACTTTTTCTCTCATATGTTTGTCTCATTTTTCCTGCCTCACCCCTAAAACCTCTACTGTTGGGTTGGTGCCCTACTCATAAATCTCTACCTCCTGACACACTTAGTAAAATATCTTGAACTTAGCAGATATTCAATAAACATCTGCTGAATTAAATAGGATCACGTAACACAGGCTCTGAGGACACTATGTCAAGACTATAGACGTTTTACACGCAAAACCTGTAAAAACAAAACCTCAAGTCCTGGTTAAAAAACCAATTAGATACCGTATAGAAGAATGCTAATCACTAATTAACCATGTTCACTTCAAATGCTTCACACCAAGCACGCTTCTCTAACATCACAGAAAACCTTTTTTATAAAATAACACCTGTTTCCTAGCAAACATCACTGCCCGCTTGCCCACAGCTTCACATCCACTGAGGCATGGAGAGACACGCATTCTCCCCCCCCACACACACACACACACCCCTCGTGAATGAAAATACATCCTTTAAAAAGGATTCTTACCATGGTCAACATGAGCCAAAACACAGATATTCCTGATGTTGGCAGTGTTTTTCTGGAGCTGAATCATCTTATCCAAACTATTGAGCACCATGGTTGCAACTTACTTCCTGTGATTAAAAAATCAAACATTTCTTACAAATTGCCCAGGGACTAAAGGTCAGGGCCAAAAAGGGGGAAAACAATAAATAAATAAATAAATAAATGAATCAAAGGCTGGTAGTTGACAAGACTTGTCAGATCCCTTAAACTAAGGACCCCCACGCAGGGCATGCCCGGCGCCGCAGTCTGAGCACGAAAGTCAGCATCCCATCACAACTAACACTCGGCGGAGCGTGTTCATCCTTCCGGCTCCGACGGCTGCGATGAATCACCGGGCTGGGAGCACGGCGACACCCGCGGCCCGGCCGCCCGACGAGGACTCGGTAGCCTTCTGCAGGCCGGTGACTTCGTACGGGGAGGGCTCCGTGCGGCGGGGACAGGTGCGGCTGGCGTCGGCACCAGTTCTCCCCCTCCTTCCCCAAGTCCCTCACTCTCGTCCCCGCCCGCCCGCCCGCGCGGGAGAGACGCCGGGCTGTGTCACCGACCGCCCCACACAGCCCGGGTAAAGTTTCGGGTCACGTGCCCGCTACCCGAGCAGGTGCACCGCAGGTCCCTGCGCCCTCTCCAAACTAAAAGGGGAAAACCTCAACTCGACCCTCCCTTCAGTCCCGGGGGGTCCCGGACCCGCTCTCTTCGCGGACCCCGAGTCCTCAGAGAAGCGGCCGCCCGGCCCCGGGCGGGAAGCTCCGGCGGTGGCGAACGGCCGCCCCCCGCCCGGACCCGCCCCCGGCCCGCGGCGCCCCGGCCCCCAGCGCGGGCCCGCACCCACCGGCTCCGGCCGCCGCACCGGCCCCGCTCAGCTATTCCAGACGCCGCCTCACCAAGCGGGAAGACGCCGGGAGCTCCGCGAGTGTTGAACGCCCGAGGGGGCGGAGCCCGCTGACGCTCGACCTTTGACCCGCGCGCGTCTGCGTCGCTGCCGGAAGCCGGCGCCGCGTCCGTCTCCCGGGGACCACGCGGTTGCCAGGGCTACGGCGTGCGCTGTGGAAGCCGAGAGGCAGCGACTGCCGAGGCGCGGCGGCGGGCGCGGCGAGCGGAGAGCATGAGGAGCCGGTGTCTGTGTCAGATTTGTACCTGCGGGTAAGAGGCGGCGGGGCTCGGGAGCCGGGCGAGGGCCCCTCGGGCACCGCGAGGGCGGTTGTCCCCCAAGACGAGAGTCGGCTGCCGCGAGCCGAAAGCGTTTCCTCCTTGCGGCTCCTGTCCTAGGGTGCGAGGTGGGCCGCGCTCGCGGCGCTGCGGCGACGACGTCAGGCCGGTGCGCGGAGTAGGGGGGGTCCGATCGGCTGGAAGGACGCGTGCCCCACAGAGAGATGGTAAAGAATGTGGCGAGGCCGTGAGTTTGCGACCTGCGTCACACTCTGTGCGTCTCCGGCGTTTCGTCCTCCCGGCCAGACCATGTTTGCGCCCCCGGCCAGGCAGCGCTCCTCTGGGGCCAGGCTGAGGAGGCGGCGCAGTCGTCCCCACCCCGAGCCCAGTCCTGGCCTGCCAGTCCTGCCTGACAACCCTCCACCGCCTGGAAACACAGTCCTTTCCTGCCTCGGCCTCGCCGTTGACCCAGGGATGGATTAGGTCATTATTTGCTGAGTAAATGTGAACATGTCAGTCGCTTCGTATTTGCCATCCCCTTCAAAGGAAAAACACCTGCGTGTTGATGGAACGCAGTTTCTCTGCCACTCTCATGATAAACATGGTTTGTAACTTAGATGTAGACTAACAGATACACAAGGCTGTAGCCTCCCAAGAAAAGTCGTGGGACCGTGTCGAATGTTGACACTTACTTAACTTGAAGCCTGCTGCAGTTACGTTGGAATTCCTATTGCAACTTAATAGGAATGCCAGGAAACGTGGTAAAGAAGAAAAGGCTGAAAAGGCCAAGATTAAAAAGGTCATTCCGAAGAAAGGCAATATAGAAGTTGCAAGAATAAATGCTGAAAATGCAATCTGCTAGAAAAGGCAAGCAAAAAAAAAAGAAAAAAACAATTTGTTTTGTTTTGTTTTTTGAGACAGGGTCTCGCTTTGTCACCTGGGCTAGGGGGCAATGGCATCATCATAGCTCATTGCAACCTCACACTCCTGGGCTCAAGCGATCCTCCTGCCTCAGCCTCCTGAGTAGCTGGGACTACAGGCTCACAGGCTCATGCCCAGTTAATTTTTCTATTTTTTGTAGAGACCACGCCCCAGTGGTTTAAGGCTTTTGAAAAGAGCCTGTGGGCAAAGCATGGCTATTTGTTTGAAAGACAAAATCTAAACAAATTAGTAATATATAATAAATATAAAAGGATAGCTGGCAAAAAGAGGAATGTGAAAGGAAGGCAGAAAATTGAGAAAAATACTTAGGAACCAATAATTTTCTCCATCATTTTTACAAAGTACAAAAATCAAAGAAAAGTATCTTAGGAGCTAATAGCCTAAGAGTCTGCAAAGGGAGGTGTCCAGAAATGCTGTTTAAGTTGGTTGAATTTAAAAAAGGGGTTTAAGTGTATTATTTAAAGATACAAATGTAATCAAATTTGTAATCAAATCAAATGAAAAGATCCTTCTCATTTAGATCTTTGCTCAAATATAATGAAAGATCCTCACGTTCAGATCTTTGCTCAAATATCACACAATCTAAAATTGCAACCTTCCTGCCCTACCCCATACTCTCCATCCCACTTCCCTGCTTCATTTTTTTCAATTGCACTCATTATATACTATGTATTTTTCTGATTTATTTGTTATTGGCTACTCCCCCCTCCCCTCCAGGATATAAGCTTAAGGAGGGCAGGGAATTTATTTCCTTTTCTTTCTTAATACTAGATCCCTAATACCTTTGCATAGTTGTTGCTTATTAAATTCTTGCTGAATGAATGAATACAATAATAGGAAGTAAGTGGGAGTGGTACAAATTAAATTTTATCTTTTATGTTAAGATTTGAAAGTTAGTAATTTAAGCTGATAAATCAAGATGTTCAAAGTTTATAAACAAGCATTATAGATGTAGCCTCCAGAAAACTGTAAAGCAGAAATACTAAGAAAAACGTTGCTGTTGGGGATTGGAAATGTTGGGACAAGAGGCCTTTTCTTTCCTTATAACACCTCAGCACCGTTAGATTTTTTACAATGTGAATGTACTGCTTTGATGGAAAATAAAAATAAAAACAATGACAAATTCCAAAACTTTGACTTCATTCTTATAACTAAGTGCAGCTATATCATGATGAACCTCTATGCATGGACCTGTGTACCTGCCTCTATTTTTCCCAAGAGTCTGGGACCACGTGTGGCACTAAATCACTTCAGCACTTTTCCACAGCTTCCATTTTCAGCAGATTTTCCTGAATATCTTAACTCCCTGAGTTTTTTAGATATCCTGTGACACCTCCTCTTCATTCCTCCTCCCTATACCACAATTCTTCATGCAGCAACTTCAAAGCAAAAAAAACCTATTTCTTTTATTTTTTTTTCCTGGAGGTTCACTGAGTTCAGGTGTATCTTAGTTTTGATTCATCTGCAGAGAATATGCATTTTCTTCAGGTTCAGTTTTACCTGGGCTTTTATTATCACCCCTCACTACATGGCCTGGAATCCCCAAATGATATCAGACCTAAGAAACTGACCTTATATTTTAGAATAGTATGACTTTACTTTCTGTTTGTCTGTTTTGGTTTTTTTGTTAGTTTTGTTTTTTAACAATTTTATCTCTTTTTCAATTATGCAATGAATATACATGAGGCATAGTATAAAAATCTAAGCTGAAAAATCTATACTATTGTGAAAATCCTTTATGATCCTTCCCCCCAACAGATAACAGATTTTCTTTAAGATTTGTTTTACATATGCATAGTTTTATTATTTAAAAAGAGAGAGAGTATACTGTATATACTATTCTACAATCCACTTTTTTACTACTTACAATGTCACCATCTTCCAATGGCCATGCATAAAGGTCAAACCTATTCTCTTTAACAACTGCATACTATTAGCTCATATGATTCATTGGTCAGGGTTCTTTGTTATGGACAACATAATCTACTCTGGCTAGTTAGGCAAAAAGGAATGTATTAAGGAGTATATATAGTTCACTTGGAAGAACTGAAGAAATAATTTTCAAAGTAAGTTTCTTGAAAAATTCCCAAAAATCTCACCACAGAAGTGGACTGATATGAAAGCCACTACTTGCAACAGAGTTGTAGACGCCAGAACCACTCACTTCTGCCAAGCTCAGAAAGCTGCCACGTCAGGAAACCACCTTGCAAGTCAGGATGCTGCCTAACAAGGGCTGTCTCTGATCTCTCCTTGCCTCCACCACAATCTAGGCGAGCAAAACACATGCTGTGCCCTGCCTCTCTCCTTACTTAGCTCTGTTATGAATCAAAGTCTCACGAGAATACACCTTATAGGTGAAGCCTAAATTGTGTGTAGAACCCGCCTGCAAGAGTCTGGGGAATTCCCTTGTTAGTTTTTCTGTAGTGTAAGACACTAAATTATTGTGAGAACAAAACCAGAGTCTGCCACATAAGGATATACCATACTTTGTTCATTGTTTTTGTAAACATCCTTGCAGAGTTTTTTGTTTCTTTGTAAAGCTACTAAAAAATTTACAGTTTATTGAAGGTCTCTGACTGAAATGGAATTGCCACACAAAATGTTTTTTTAAGGTAAAATAATCTTTGAGTTTATTTTTTTGTACAGGCGTCATCATTGTCCACATGGAAACACAAGGATTTATGAAAATGCTGGCGTGTTTTGCCCCACAACTGAATATTTGGAAAAATACCCTATATATGGCAATGTTCTTCCACCTCAGAGCCTTAAACCCAAGGAAGAATTTCGAGCATGCCGTGGTAAAATGGAAGGAATAACTACGTTTAAGTAAATATTGATCTACCATTTGCTGTACTTATTTTCCTCCCAACTCTTCTGGTCTTAATAAGGTTTTCTAACTATTTAAATTGAACTATTTAGTTGATTTAAGTCGAACCAATCTAATAAACAAGAAACTAAGTCACAACTCAAGAAAAACAGAAAGATGAGAATTAGGTTGACAAAGAGAAGAAAAAAAGGAAATAAAAAGTTCTGTTGATTTTTTTTTTTTTTACCACCTACAATATCTCATATTTATCTACACTGTCACTACCATCTCAAGGAATGCTTTCTAATTGTTAAGTCTGTCTACTGTAGTTTCTGCAAGTTTATCTGTTTTCAATACTGTAACCTGCCAAGATGATCTTTTTATAATGGAAATTGAATCCTATCACCTTCCTGCTTAAAATACTCTTAAACTTCCCATTGTATGTACCCTAGACCAAAATCTTTACCAAAATCCTGCATGGTTTGCTCCCTACTTGCTTTTCTACTTTATTTTTATTTGAGTGCTCTTTTTACTCTTATGCTCGCATCCATAGGCCATTTTTCATTTCCTTCAAAAGTGCCAGGTTTCCCTTCACTCAGAGCTTTCCAAGATAACTATTTTCCCTGCCTGGAATTTTCCCTCCTTCTTCCCCTAGTTGATACTCATTCAAAATGTAGGTATCAATTAAATTTTCACCTGGAAAAGCCTCTTCTCACACCTCACCCAGTTTTCAGGCTAAGTAAAATTCTTCTATGTACACTCTCCCAGCAAGGCCCTATCAGTGTTCCCTGGAGACAGGAAGTGTGTCCATTGTTACCAGCATTCTATTTCCTGGAACCTAGTAGGATTCCTACTGGCGCACAATAGGTAACCAATATTCGCTATGTGGGTAATGCACAAAAAGTCCTCTTGAGCCTAAACTTTTCATTTGGACTTAGCATTTTTGATTTCTTTGTATCTTTGTCACTTAGGTGACTTTACTTATTTATTTATTATTTTACTTAAACTCTTAATGTGTACACTATATTCAAGGCATAATCTTAGGCATTAAGTATAAAAATATCAATAATATCAAAAATATTAATGAAGAATTCCCTTCATTTGAGTTCAAGAAACTCATGTATCAGATTTCTATAGTTTGGGCTTTAAAAGTGCTCTGTGACAGCTTTAAATTTCAGTGTTAGCCATTTCCATTTCATTTCAGATGGAGCTCATTCTACTTACATAGCACGGGTGGAGACTTTCAAACTCTTAGTTTAATACTTCTACCTTTAACATTTCAGGCAGCTCTTGCAATAATAGTGTTTTAGTGACTCTGGTTCCTTCTGTAGGTATGTGACTTACAAATTTGAAGATTTTTTCCTAGTCCTCAGAATTTGTTGTGCTTTAGTGCCATCTAGAAGTGTTAAAATTGCATATTCTAGAGCTCCACCTAAAAGAGTCAGTAGATGATGGAGTGGGTCCCAGGAATCTGCATTTTGACCAGCACTGTCGGTGCATCTGTTGCCACTGACTCACTGCGAGGGTCAGTACCCACGGCTCACCGAGGGTGACAGGGAACACAAAGCCGAGAAGTGCTTGGCGTTACTGTTGTTTACAGTCTCATGGGGAAGATAATCCAGAATCAAAAAATCAGATAAACAAGATAATTATAGATTATAATAAATGAGACGAAGAAACTGAACAACTGATTAAGATAAATGGGAATGGTTGCTCTTTTTTATTCACCTTTATTCCTTTCTTGATGCCTTAATGGTTCATAATACAGATTTGAAATAAATTTCATAATATTCATATTTATTGAATAAAGATTTTGCTTTCAACCAGTCTAAATGTTAAAATTGAGAAAGTTTAACTTGCCATTTTAAAAGGCAATTGCTTTTCAATTCTGCATTTTCCCAACTGACTTGTTCAAGTAGGCCTTAATGATTTTTTAAAAATTGAAATGTGCCAATTTCCAAAAAGTCCAAATATGCCAATGAAACTAAAAATTAGTTCTTAAATCATCATCTCTCCACTTAGTAAGATAATGGATCTTTTCTTTGTATTTTGCCTGGGAAAGTAGCAGTATTTCTAAGAGCCATAACCTAGGTGCTTGGAATTCTTTCTTGACTTCCTCACCTTGACCATGTTGACTAGGTTAGTAGAAAGTGGATTTAGCAGTACAAAGAATAAGGCATCATTCTATGCTTTTCTGTAATATAGGAAGAGCCTGTGTAAAGAGATGTCTGAACATATACAAAACTTTGGATCCGTTATAGCAATATAGTTGTAGCACAGTTACATGACTGCCAGAGTTGTCAGGAAGTCTCCCTTGAAAAGTAGGATTCTGGACATATCAAATGTTCAGGATGTATCAGATGAATAAGACTGTGTTCACCCTCTACTATTTCTCCTTAGGAAGAGGCTTTGGGTTTCGAGTATACTTTCTAACACTGAACTAGTCTAACCAGAGAAACTGAGACTTCTAAGCTTTCTCTTTGCCCTTCTCTCCCTGATTCTTCCACTTCCTGATTGCCGTTTAGCTTACTCCTTTCTAGCTGGTATTTGGGAAGATCAAAGAACAACTCACATGTCTTGAGACGCAGAGGTATGTGATTTCCACTACTATTTATCCATTAAATACATATTAAGCATTTATTAAGCATCAAGCACTATAGCACTGTACTCGGCACCTGGGATACACTGGTCATGAAACACACTCGTGATCTCTGTGCTTACTGATGTTACGGTCCAGTGGACATAGTAATAAAAAACGTCACAAAATCTACGAAGGGTTAGGGTATCTTGACAGCCAGAATAAGAGGTTGAATTTTATCAGGAAAATGAGAAAAATGAGCTAAAACTTGAAGAATGTTAAGCAATTAAGTGGATCAAGAGGGGAAGGAAATAGATTCCAGGCAGAGAGAGTAGAATGTAGGAGTCAAGAGTATGGAAAGTGGGAAATTCTCCAAGAAGGGCAGTTTGAGCAGAGAAAGAGGAAGCACAGCGTGAGTGGAGCCTGATGAAGGAGGCCAGGCAGAGCCTTCAGGCCATACTCTATTTTATCTACATCCTTAGAGAATGAGAAGCCATTGAAGTTTTCTCTTTTGTTGTCTTTTCTTTCTTTCTTGTTTTGGTGACAGGGCTGTGTAAAAGAGGTAAGGAAGAGGCAAGGAGGATGAAAGCAAGAATGAGCTGATCCAATTTACATGTGAAATAATTATGTTGGTTGCAATGTAGAGAAAAGATTGGAGAGAGGACTAGAGTGGATGCAGGTAAATGAGTTTAAGAAGCTACTGAAGTGGCTCAAATGAGCTGTTCTGAAAGCTTTGAATATTGTGATGACAGGGATGGAGAAAAGTGGTTAGAGGCGAGATATAGGCTTGAGTCTTGACTATGTAGCTGAAGAGATGGTGATGCCATTCACTAAAATAGGTGACAATCAAAAAGGACCAGATCTGTTGTGGGGAAGTAGTTGATTTGGGGCATACTGAGTTTTGAGGTACCATTGAATATCTGAGAGACCATTGTAGGTACTGGTAATGGAGTCCAGAGAAGAGGTCTAAGCTGTGATGTAAATTTGAGAGTCACTTCTGTTAGGTCATTAAATATGAAATGTCACACACAGGTTGAGATGGATTTGCTCCTAGGCAGCTTCATATACTGTATTTCCCGGAAAATAAGACAGGGTCTTATATTTATTTTTCCTCAAGACACCTCAGGGCTTCTTTTCAGGGGATGTGTTGTTTTCCCCTTAAAGCCTCAGCTTGCAGCATGCACAGGATGCCTGGCAGCTGCTTCCACTACAGCTTTTAGCCCATCATTGTCCACCTTGGTCTCAGGTTGCCCATGTGGCTCATTTTCAAGATTAAAATCACCAGAACAGAAATTCTCAAACCACTGATGAACTGTGTGTTCATTAGCCACATCCTTCCCAAACACTTCATTGATATTTCAAGCTGTCTGCGCAGCATTGGTTCCATGATGGAACTCATATTAGAAAATAACGTGAATTTTTTTACTTATCCATGGTTTCACAAAAATTGCTCTAAAACTTTTGAAAGATAATCACAAGCCAAACCATGCATTTGAAAGAATGAGGATGTACCTTCACAGTAAAAATAAAACATGAAGTGTCAAAGTTAAATGACAGAGATATCAACTATCAAACTTAGTACTTAAGGAAATTGGACATTTCATACTTAATAACCTAATATATAGGTAGTAATTAAGCTGTGGGAGTAGAGGGGTTGCCCTTTGGAGTGAAAAATGGATGAGAAGAGGGAGTGGAAGACTTGGAAGAGTCTAAGTCTTGAGGAACTCTAACATTTATTTAACAACTGAATAGAGGTACTGTGTTTGCCTGAAAATAAGACCTACCCATAAAATAAGCCCTAGCAGGATGTCTAAGCATGTGCGCAATAGAAGCCCCACCCCGAAAATAAGCCCTAATGACGGGTGTGGCTGCGCAGCGCGTCTGCACAACCTGTGCATGTCGTCACGGAGTGGTAAGACGTGCAGCCCTTCTCATCTGCCCCATCGTGACAGCTGCTATCCCAGAGGTGACCGGAAAGGTACGGGCAGCCCCACCAACAAGGCCGGCTCCCCCTGTCAGGTGCTGGCCATCCTGTGCATGCTGCAAGCTGAGGCTTTAAGGGGAAAACAACACATCCCCTGAAAAGAAGCCCTGAGGTGTCTTGAGGAAAAATAAATATAAGACCCTGTCTTATTTTCCGGGAAATACAGTATATGAAGCTGCCTAGGAGACTGAGAAGAAATAGGAAGCAGGAGAAGAGAGTTTCCTGGAAATAGAAAGAGTGGACAGTAATGTCAGTTACTGCTAGAGAGGTCAAGTAGGAGGACTAAGCCGGGCGCGGTGGCTCACGCCTGTAATCCTAGCTCTCTGGGAGGCTGAGGCGGGTGGATCCTTTGAGCTCAGGAGTTCAAAACCAACCTGAGCAAGAGCGAGACCCCGTCTCTACTATAAATAGAAAGAAATCAATTGGCCCACTAATATATATATATATATAGAAAAAATTAGCCGGGCATGGTGGCGCATGCCTGTAGTCCCAGCTACTTGGGAGGCTGAGGCAGAAGGATTGCTTGAGCCAGGAGTTTGAGGTTGCTGTGCGCTAGGCTGACACCACGGCACTCACTCTAGCCTGGGCAACAAAGTGAGACTCTGTCTCAAAAAAAAAATAAATAGTAGGAGGACTAAAATTACCTGATGGATTTGATCATATGGAAGTCACTGTCATCTTTAGAGCTGCATTAGGGAAGTGACAGTGCTGGAAACAAGACTGAGGTTGATTGAAGAGGAGAGTTGAAGGGGGTGAGAAAATAGTGATTAATATAAGATAGTTTAATTATAAAATGAGTGACATTCCAGTAGAATCCACAAGAAAAAAGCAATCTGTGAAAACTTAGAGTAATAACAGCAGTAGCTAACCTATTACTATGTACCAAGCATTCTTCTAAACATGTGCATGCATCCTTAAAACAACTCTATGAGGCAGATATTGTCCCATTAAAACTGGGGTATAAGCCGGGCGCGGTGGCTCACGCCTGTAATCCTAGCACTCTGGAGGCGAGGCGGGCGGATTGCTCGAGGTCAGGAGTTCGAAACCAGCCTGAGCAAGGCGAGACCCCTCTCTACTATAAATAGAAAGAAATTTAATTGGCCAACTAATATATTATATAAAATTAGCCGGGCATGTGGCGCATGCCTGTAGTCCCAGCTACTTGGGAGGCTGAGGCAGGAGGATCGCTTGAGCCCAGGAGTTTGAGGTTGCTGTGAGCTAGGCTGACGCCACGGCACTCACTCTAGCCTGGGCAACAAGCGAGACTCTGTCTCAAAAAAAAAAACAAAAAAACAAAAAACTGGGGTATAAACAGGTTAACTAAGTTATCCAATGATGGAGCGGGGTTTGGACCCACGCAGTCTGTTCAGTGTGAGTCTGTGGTCTTCTCCATTCCTCCAGACCAACTTGGTGTCTTCAACACTACCTCTGCCACACATGCTGTATCATGCCCCTTGGCTTCCATCCATGTCAGGGGCTTCTGGGAGATCCCAAAATGAGTAAGACTCACGTCTGCACTATGAATGTGGTTTATGTCTAAAGGCCAGAGTTACTAATCATTTAACAATGAGCAGGAAGACAGCATGACTTGAATAAGAAGAATTATGTCCAGTAGTTTGCTAGAGTCTTTAAGTAGGATGAATAAGGATTTTGGCAAAGTGGATCCAGGGGAATGTTTTTTTAAACTTTTCAGGTTCATTAAGACTTTTACCTGAGGTTTCCTTCCAGTTTAAAACAAAATTCAATTACTTGAGGATTTTATTTACTTAATATTCACTTAACTAAGGATCTATTGTAATGATGTTTTAAAAAGTAGAATTTTTGACATATTTACTTTTCTCAAGATATTTAGTCACTGGATAGGACCTTATAAAGGAATTCAGTAGCTTTTTTCAAGTAGTTTATTGACTGTTACTATCTTAATATCTTCTTGGACTTTTCAAGTAAAAAAAAAAAACCCTTGAAATTTTCAGTACTTCATTGGAATACTTAGAAAAAAAAGAACCTGTGAGGCTATGTTTCAAATTTATATATTTCAGGTCGGATTATCGTCCTTATGAAATAGTCAAACCGCCTCGCCACGTACCAGAAGAATATAAACCGAAACAGGGGAAGATTGATCTTGGCACCACCTACAAACGAGATTTTAATTCTTATAAAATACAGCCTGTGGCAATAGTCCGCCCTTTGGAAAGACAACAAGTTAAAAAAGGAAAATTGGACACTGTCCCAACCTATAAAGGTAACTTGCCATTTCAAAAATGAAAGAGCCAGAAAACGAAAACTCACTTCCAGCTTTAATATCAAATATCAAATTATAACTTTGGTGTGCTGCCAAACGTAGCCCCAATGGCTTAGGAAAGAACATTTCTCTTTGATTAAAGTAGTAGTATATAGTGCAAAAAAAGACCATTTGCTTGATTGAGAGTTAATAAACCTGGATTCCTGTCCAAATTCAGCCACTTAATTAGGTTCCTCTATCTCAAAACAGATAAAAAACAAAGATGCCATTCAACAAGCATTATGTGACATTTGTCGCTTTATGTCACATTTAGTTGGCATTGTTCCTTTCTTCCTATCCTAGACTGAGTTGAAACTCTACTGAGAGTGCTAAGTCTTTGAGAAGCTCAAATAAATAGCAACCATCTTCTCCATTCAAGTTCAGAACCAACCTGTAGAGCAAAAGAGTTGACTGATGGAGAAGCAAAGTATTACTTTCATACTGATAAAAGCCAGGGTGGAGATAAGCTTTCATCTGAAAACAGGTGATTCCTGATACTGAACAAGGCAGGCTCATCTGCCCGGGACAGGCAGTCCTGGACAGCGACACGGGATCTGCCCCTCCTTCCAGCGTGAGGGAGTGTGAGGAAGCCTTTTGTTTGCTGGCAGCTGATGTGGAAGAATAGGAGCCTGGCAATGTACGTTTTTCTTTCCAAAAGCCTATCTGACGTTAAAGTATTCTGTGACTTTTGGGAGATGGTGTCTTTTTTTTTTTAAAATAGGCCACCTTGATAATAGATAATATCTTTATATATTTTTTTATTAATGTAATTTCAGATATAGGATTACATTTTAAAATAATGTAAATGAGTTTTATCAAATAGCTGAATGGGTATGTCCTAATAAAAAACTCTTTTGTAAGAGTGATGCCATCAACAATCAATGTAATGATTCACACTTTACCCATTCAATGGATAAGTAAAGTGCAGGTTATCAATATACTGTGATCTGTAAGCCTACCTATTTGGGAGGTCAGGAACAATGTTCTTTCTGTTTTTTAAAGCTGTGAGCACATAAGACGCTATACAGAGAACAAATTGTGAACTCAATGCATATGGCAAGCAAGTATAATCAAATGTAGCATATAGTAACTGCTACATGTATAAATTTATTGATATACATAGGAGATAATGTCTGTGCAAAATTTGACATAAAAATTGATGGAAATGACTGTACTTAATCTTTTATATAACCATGGTAAGATTTTATTTTCTTTTTTGCTACAAGATCTATTTTAAAAATCAGTAATATTGATGTCCCCTGACGCTGTGAACATCTACACACAACACAAACACACACACCATTAGTTCTCGATTTCCATTACCTGGGTTTTCTGTGGGTTCTCATATTTTCACTCCCATAGTTCAAGGTTGAGGAATACTGGGTTCCCTCTGGCTTTTTCTCTCCTGATCTTTCCTAGTCAGGAAAGTTTATGTTTTATATAATATTAACATTTCCAGGTTTTCAGTCATGACACAACAGAAATACTAAGGGCCAAGGCCGAACTTCCCCATTCTGTGTGACTGTGCTGCAGGTTTTATAGATAACTACTTAAGGACAGGTCTGTAGCTGAACAGGAGTCACAATGGGAAGATACGGTCCCACTATCCTCTCAGAGTTAAAGGACAGAGGAAAGACAGAAATGGGACATGATAAAGCAAAAAAACCCTACAAGATAGTAAGCAGGGCAACATTTAGATTCTGGAGATGTGGATTTATGAAACTGGTGACTCCTCAACAAAAATGTATCTGCCCCTAGCAGTCTCAACGTATAAATTCAATACAGAGATCTGGACTGCGGCATGGTTGTTGACATTTAGAAACTTTACTGTTGATAACCAAGGTAGTAAAAGATGTGTACACTGAAAACTATAAAATACTGATAAAGCCAGGCGTGTTGACTCATGCCTGTAATCCTAGCACTTTGGGAGGCTGAGGCAGGAGGATTGCTTGAGGTCAGGAGTTCAAGACCAACCCGACCAAGAGCAAGACCTCATCTCTACAAAGAATAGAAAAACTAGCCAGGTGTGGTGACATGCACATGTAGTCCCAATTACTCAGGAGGCTGAGACAGGAGGATCACTTGAACCCAGAAGTTTGAGGTTGCAGTGAGCTGTTGATGATGCCACTGCACTCTAGCCAGGGCCACAGAGTGAGACCCTGTCTCAAAAAAAAAAAAAAAAAGATCGATGAAAGACATTGAAAAAGGCACAAATAGAACAAATAGAAATATATCCTATGTTTATGGATTAGAAGAATAATATTGTTAAAATGTTCATATTACCCAAAGCAATCTGTAGATTCAATGTGATCTCTATCAAAATTCAAATGGCATTTTTCACAGAAATAGAAAAAACAATTCTAAAATTTATTTGAAATCACAAAAGACTCTGATTAGCCAAAACAATCCTGAGAAAGAACAAAGTTTGAAGCATCACACTTTCTGATTTCAAATTGTGTTACAAAGCTAAAGTAATCAAACTATAATAGTATGGTACTGGCATAAAAACAGACACACAGACCAGTGAAACAGAATAGAGAGCCCAGAAATAAACCCAAGTGTATATAGCCAACTAATTTTTGATGAGGATGCAAGAATATTCAAAGGAGAAAGAATAGTCTCTTTAATAAATGGTGTTAGGAAAACTGGATATCTACATGCAAAAGAATGAAATTAGACCATTATCTTACACTATACACAAAAATCAACTCGAAGTGGATTAAAGATTTAATTATCTTAAACATAAGACCTGAAACCATAAAACTCCTAAAAGAAAACATAGACGGAAATTTCCTTGACAATGACCTTAGCAGTGATTTTTTGGCTATGACTCCAAAAGCACAAGCAACAAAAGCAAAAATAGACAAATGGCATTATGTCAAACTAAGAAGCTTTTTCACAGCAAGGAAACAATCAACAAAACAAAAAGGCAACCTATGAATTTGGAGAAGATATTTGCAAGTCATGTATAAGGTGTTAATATTCAAAATACATAAGGAACTCACATAACTAAATAGCAAAAAAAAAAAAAAGCAAGATTAAAAACTGGCCAAAGGAATGGAATAAACATTTTTCCAAAGAAGACATACAAAGGGCCAACAGGAATATGAAAAGATACTCAACGTTACTTAACATCAGGTAAATGCAAATCAAAACCACTATGAGATACCACCTCACACCTGTTAGGATGGCTACTATAAAAAAGATAAAAGGCAACAAGTGTTGATGAGGATGTGGAGAAAAAGGAATCCTTGTAGACTGTTGGTAGAAATGTAAATTGTTACAGCCATTATGGAAAACAGTACAAAGGTTCCTCAAAAAATTAACAATAGAACATCCTTATGATCCAGCAATTCCTCCTTTGGGTGTATACCCAAAGTACATGAAATCATTACCTGGAGGAGATATCTGTACTCCCGTATTTATTGCAGCATTATTAACAATAGCCAAGATAAGGAAACAACCTGGTATCCATTGAAGGATGAATGGATTAAAAAATTGTGAGATAGACTAGATATAGATATAGATAGATAAGAATCCAATTTCATTCTCCTGCATGTGGATATCCAGTTTCCCCAACACCATTTATTGAAGAGACTATTCCCATTACCCATATCTTCTTGTACCCTTGCCATAAATTAGTTGGCTATATGTGCTTAAGTTTATTTTTGCACTCTATTTCATTGGTCGATGTGTCTGTTTCTGTGCCCACACCATACTGTTTTGATTAGCTCTGTAATATAATGTGATATCAGACAGTGTGATGCTTCCAACTTTGTTTTCTTTCTCAAGATTGCTTTAGCTAAAATAAATGAATGAATGGATGGATAAAGAAATTATGATATATATGTATATAATGGAATATTATTCAGACTTAAAAAAGGAGATCCTGTCATTTGTGACAGTGTACACAAACTTAGAGAGGACATGCTAAGTGAAATAAGCTAGACATAGAAAGAAAGGTATGCATGATCTGACTTAAATGTGAAATCTGAAAAAGTCGAATACACAGAAGCAGAGAATAGAGTGATGGTTACCAGGGGCAGGGAGCTGTGGGGAATGTTGGCCTAGGTGTACAAAGTTGCAGCTACATAGGATGAACAAATCTACAGATCTAATGCACAGCATGGTGACTGTAGTAATAATACTGTATTGCATACTAGAAATTAAGAGTAGATTTCAGGTGCTTTCACCACACACACACATACACGGGGGACTATGTGAGGAGATGGATATATTAGCTTTTCTGCAGCAGTCATTTCACTATGTGCATATACATGTTAAAATATCTTGTATACCTTAAATATGTATAATTTTTATTTTAAAAATAAAATCATATGGACTATGTAAAGGGACTTTATAACAGAGTTGAGGAAAAAAGCAGTAATAGCATGAAAAATTAAATAACCATCCTAGAAAAAAATAATATTAAATATCACAGTGCTTCAAAAACTTACAGTGAAGCAATCAGTGCTTCAAAAACTTCAAAACCTGATACCACTTCAAGCCAGCCTGGGAATGCATCAGAGACTAGTGCATACTGATGTATATAAATAGGAGGGACATCCCCCAAACTGGTATGAACTGTGAGTTCTGCTGCCAGGTAGGTTATAGTAGATGGTAGAAAGCTATTACTTCCACTACAACTAATAAAAGTATAGATTTTTGAAAATCATTTTAATAGTATCAAACAGCTGTAGAAGCAAAGAGCTGAAATTTCAGAAAGGGAGGAGCCCTTGCTAGTTGAGCTGAGATGGCCAATCATTTAATTCTCCAGGAGCATTTGTTAAATCCAGGCCAAGGCTGAAGATTGAGCTTGGCATAGCAAAGAGACTCCACTAGGGGAAGAGAAAGCAGTCTAGCACTTGATACGTGGGCCTGTGTGACAAACTGGAATCTAGAAAAGCCCCAGATGCTTGGCTGGTTTTCCTTGTGGGACATTGAGTGAGTGTTTAGCGGGCATGGTGGGCTGGGAGACTGGGCCAGAAAAATCCCACAGAAATATTCCACAGTCTTATTGGGAGTAGATCCTTAGGAAACAAAGTCTAGCTAGAATGACCCTACCACAAACATACCTCAGGTGTTGTCCTTGAGACATTTGAGACTAGGTCTGTTTTAAATATAACCTCAGCTTGCGGTAGTTCTCCAGCTCTGCCTCCTGGCATCCTTTTATTATAGATTCCTCTCCCATTTCCATCTGGCTCTTTATTTTCCACTTGAATTTCACAAGAATAAGAATGCTTAATCTAGCTTATCTTTTCTTGCCAGTTTGTTGCATAGGTCTCTGCTAGTCTTTTTTTTTAATTTAATTTCAATTTTGATTTTTTTTTTTTTTTTTTTTTTTTAGAGACAGTCTCATTCTGTTGTCCAGGCTGGAATGCAGTGGTGTGATGATAGCTCACTGCAGTCTCAAACTCCCGGGCTCAAGTGATCTTCCCTTAGCTTCCCTAGTAGCTGGGTCCACAGGTACATGCCACCAGGTCTACCTAATTTTCTTTAAAAATTGTTTTAGAGATGGGGGTCTCACTATGTTGCCTAGAGTGGTCTTAGACTCCTGGCCCCAAGTGATCCTGTAGTAATAATCTCCAGAGTAGCTGGGACTGTAGGCATGAACCACTGCACACGGTTCATCTGCTAGTCTACAGGTTGTCTATTCTTGGGTCAGGTACGCATTCTCATCCAAACATCAGAAGCTTAATCATTTATGTAGTCCAAAACTTGGCCATTGTGGCAGAGATATTTATGGATAAGGAAGTTTTCTCTTTGAAAGAGATATCCCTGTCCGTATTTGAGGTTTGGGCTTTCCAGTAAATGTTGTGTAGACTTTAGTCCAGATTCTGATACGTTATCTTGTATAGTAAACTTGTCTTCTATGAATTAATTTTAGTATTTACAGATACAAATTTTTGGATGAAGTCAATTCTATCATATTTTCCAGCTTACCATCTTTCTCATCTAGAAATAGAAAACAAATAATCCTCAGTTGAAATATACTTCAGTTTTCCATCCATGGTCTAGGTAAACTAAACACTTCAGTTTTCCATCCATGGTCTAGGTAAACTGCAGAAGGCAGCTGAAGGTATTTAACTTCTAAACCTGAAATCTTAGCCCTGATGTTCGCTTCTAAATTCTACATAAAATTTTAAATACTTTTGAAAGTACTCAGTCCAGGCCCCTGGCCTCTGGATAGCCCTCTATCTTTTGGCAATGCCTTAAAGTCCATTTCACGAGGAGGAAGAGTTGAAGCCAGTGATCTTTTAGGGATCGTACAAGTTACCCTGTATCTTTCCTCAAGGAGTTCTTTAGGCTTCCTAGAGTATAATGGCGTTGAAATTTTCTCCCCTTTGAGGAGTTCCTCCAAAGCAAGTAGTAATATTCTCATCACTTTTGCCCACACAGCAGGACACTTGATTTTATTTTAAGCCTTAGATTTTATGGCTTCCTTTAGCATTTTGTGAAGCATAGTGAAAATCCTAATGAGTTCCTGGGAATTCAACCATAATCTTCCAAATTCTGTCCTTACCTACAACACAGTCCGCTTGCCTTTCTAGAACTACCCACAATCAGGCTCAGATGTGCCCTTGACTGGTTATGTGCAGACGAATCAGGAAATGGAAATTTATGTGCATTAACATGAGGAGATGGATAGAGGAAGGTGGGAATTAGGAAAAAAAAGAACAAATCTGAGGGGAATCAGAGAAATGTCACACTTGATGCTAGTGTTTGGATTTCTAAAGGAAATGGAAGGATGTTTGGCAATGAGAGAAGTAGTCATGATTTTTAGAAGATGGTTGTTTTCTTAAGAATTTAAAAATATTTTGTTTCTTTGTTTTTAATTTTCAAGATGATTATAGAGCGTGGGACATTCAGAAAAGTGAACTTTATAAACCAGAACAAACTTACCACCCCCCTACTGTGAAATTTGGAAATTCAACTACGTTTCAGGATGACTATGTTCCTCGGGAAATAAAACTCAGGCAAAGCTTTAAACCGTCCTCTGTGGTCAAACGTTCGATGGTCCCTTTTAGTGGTGATACCAGTTATTGCCTTGATTACGTACCTCATCAGCTAGAATTAAAGTTTGAAAGGCCAAAAGAAGTTTACAAACCAACTGACCAACCCTTTGAAGATCTCACAACTCACCGGAATGACTTTCAGGGTCTTGCTGGTGAAACTGCAAAAATCTGCAAACCTGCATATACCAGAGTGACCCAAAATGCTCAGTTTCAAGGAAGCACTGAATTCCGTGAAAGTTTTCAATCGTGGGAAATCCCACCACCTGCAGCCAAGAGAGTGTGGGAGTACGTGCCCCCTACGGGAAGCATGGAGCTGAACAGCACAAGCCATCTAGACTACGTTCCCTATCAGGCCAGTCCCGTTCTTCCCATCCGGCCAGTTTCTCGTAGAAGAAGTAACAATTTTCCTTTCCAAGGAAAAAGCACCCTGAAGGAAGATTTTCCAGCATGGGAAAATTGCCGTCAAGGCCTTATTAAGAAGCAGCAGCAGATCCCCAACCCATCTGGAAAATTTGACGGTTTGAGCACTTTCAGATCTCACTATGTGCCACATGAATTGATTCCAACAGAGAGTTGCAAACCTTTAAATGTTACTGTTAAGAGTTCTGTTCCATTTGATGATGTAACCATGTACTCTACAGAGTACACACCGAAGAAACAGGAAATCTGCCCGGCTAGTTATCCTTCTCCTCCTGGTTATATATTTGAAAACACAAACGCCCAAGGTCATAAATTCTTCCGCAAGGTCACTCCTGCAGTGAAGGCCTTCTAATCATCAAATTGTGCTTAAAAGGACGCTAACTAGCAAAGTGTTGGTTTTTTAAGGGAAATCCCAATTTTTATAGTGAGAAAAATTTTTGAGAGGTATAATAAATTATTTTTTAGGTTTTAAACAAGAAAATTGGAAAATGTATCATAGGAGATCAGAATCTTAAAATCCATTTGCATTGACATTTTAATCAAGATTGTTCTTTAATATGCATTTTTCAAGGTTGAATAATGTACATTCTCCTGTGAACTATTTTAATACCCAACATACTCTTTTTTTTTTTTTTTTTTGAGACAGAGTCTCACTTTGTTGCCCAGGATAGAGTGAGTGCCGTGGCATCAGCCTCGCTCACAGCAACCTCAAACTCCTGGGCTCAAGCAATCAATCCTTCTGCCTCAGCCTCCCAAGTAGCTGGGACTACAGGCATGCGCCACCATGCCCAGCTACTTTTTTCTATATATTTTTAGTTGTCCAATTAATTTCTTTCTATTTTTAGTAGAGACAGGGTCTCACTCTTGCTCAGGCTGGTTTCGAACTCCTGACCTTGAGCAGTCCACCTGCCTCAGCCTCCCAGAGTGCTAGGATTACAGGCGTGAGCCACCGTGCCAGGCCCCAAAATACTTTTTGGTAGCTTGTCCCCAATCTATTACTATTTACACTTCTGTTTATAATTGTGGCAGTTGTATTGTTATGCACATTACAGTTGTCATTTATCAAGCCCATTAGGACTATCTACAACACCATGGTAAATGCTATAAATTCCTCCTCCAAGAGAATGGGATTCATTTTCCTCAGACGTCTGGTGTACGCTGAGTCAAGTTTTGGTTTGTGGCGACGAGACTGCTCCGCACCGTGTTCAAGTTAACAGGAGGCATTGCGGTGTGGCAAGGAAAGGCTCTGTGGGCCGGAATCAGAAGACCTGAGTTCTAATGACATCAATTTCTATTTGTGCCACCCTAGGCAAGTGACTCATGTCTCTGAGCCTCAGTGTCTTCATTTGTAAAAGGAGATCTATTCTCAAAAAGTTTGTTTTGAGCATCAGATCACATTATGCATTTTAATCCATAAAGTAAAAGTACACACGTAACAGATTCTGTTAATAAATCAATCTCTTTTTGTACTTGTTTTTTTTCCTTTTCAAATTAGGCTAATTACCTACCCAGTCCTCATTTTCTGGCCAGTGGCCATAACCTAATTCACTCTGAGCTTACGAGTAGTGTGTACTTCTAAGAAGAGCTTCTCCTGTAAAGCTTCATGAACACCCGAGAAGTTTTTATGGAGAATGGAGAGCTTGGATTGGGGTAAATACCTTGGTTTGAATGACAGTATTTACAGAGAAAAAAAGTATTTGCTAGAGGAGTTTTAGGAAGACTGACAGCTCTGAAGAAATTTTCAGGGTAAACTCAGGTAATTTATGCATCTAGTTGCCACACCCATAATCACTGTTCAGAAGCAGAACTAGGCCCAGTGTGGGTCATAATCACCTTGTTCACCATTTCCAGAAGATAAGTGCTGAGAAGGGAGGAAAGGAATGATGCCAGTAAGTGAAGCAGAAGCAACATATCGCACTTATAAATACTGGAAATTTCCTAACGAATTAAACTCTTATTGAGTGGTTGGTTTTTTAAAAATAAATGTTTGCAGTGTGGAAGAATATGATTTATTTTAGCATAAAGTAAATTTTAGTTTTTTATGGCTTCAGAATTGTTTCAAAATATACTTTATTGAGAATAGATTCATCAATATTTGGTTAAAATATTTTTTAATTATTTGAAAGTAATGTGTTCTTATTTACATTTGCATTTATTAGTGAAAATTGTTCTGTGAAATTTTATATTTCTATGTAACATTAATAAAGCATCAATATACTCAGCTTCTTAGAAGTATAAAAAAAAAAGAAAAAAGAAAAAATAATAAAGCATCAATAAAAGGAATGGATTGTCATAAAATCATTTCTGTACCTAATTTTGTGTGGAAAAGAGAGCTTTTAAATAAAGTCAAGTCTTGGTTAAACTATATGTAAGCAGATACTCTTACTTTTTAAATAGAAAATGTTATTACATAATCAAAATTAAAAATCAAAACCCTGGTCCATATTCCATATCCTGGTCCATATTCCAATGCTGGATATTCAAATTCCTCTATAATTTGATAGGGATGGCCTCCTCCCTGGACAACAGTGGCCCTTAATAAGACATCTTATCGGGGTTACTGAGGCAGTTCACTATGGGCTGAGGACACAAGGATGAACAATGTGTCCCCCATAATCTAACACGATAGGTAGGAGATGACAGCTGAGCTGAATCTTGAAAGATAAGTGGGAACTTGCCAGATCAAGAAGAATGGAAGGTAGGAACAGCACACAAATGGGCACAGAGGGATCTGTATCTCTGCACAAGAGTTGAAGAGACTTCTAAGGTCTAGCGGTGGAAAGCCAGTGATCCCTGATTCGTCCTCTTCCTAGGTCTCCTTGAAATACTGTGCAGGAACACACACAACATTTTAACAGCATTGGAAACTACAATATTACTTAACAACCTGCCAGATTCTAGAAGGAATTTCCACTAAGCCAAACTTCGATGAATCTGATGAAGGAATAAAATTTAGAGAGAAAATTTGGGAGGAAATTTCCACCCTCATCCATCCCATATCCACCCTATTTCCTTGCATACCATCATGGAAAATTAGACTGCAGACTCAGAAATTAGAAATAAAGGCTGTATTGTTTATAGAAACTGTATGTACAACACAAAGAGTGACCCTAATGTAAACTGCAGACTCTGGGTGATTATGTGTCAGTGTAAACTCATCAGTTGTAACAAACAGTGGGGGAGGCAGTGCGTGTGTGGGGCAGGAGGTATATGGAAACTCTGTATTTTCCACTCAGTTTTGCTGTGAACCTAAATCTGCTCTAAAAATTAAGGTCTATTTAGAAAATAAAAATTTTAAAAGCCTTCACAGCAGCAGAGGAGTGTTCACCAGTAGAGGCTGGGAACCCCACATCCCAGATTCTTAATACATCAAATTTACAGGTTTTCTTTTATACAAAACTACATTCTAAGCCCTCTCTGAGAATCGCTGTGCAAGAGGAGGAGCCTCATAATACAAAGAGGAGGGGAGACCCCAGGTCCCAATATCAGGTGTTGGTTTGTTCTGAGGCTGTGAAGGGAAATATGTTCCATTCCTTTGTCCTAGCTTCTGGTGGTTTGCTGGCAATATTTAGAGTTCCTTGGCTTGTAGAGCTCTGCCTTCGTCTTCACATAGCATTCTCCTTGTGTACACACATCTCTTTTAAAAATTTGCCCTTTTTATAAGAACACCAGTCATATCGTATGGGGGCCCATCCCAGTGAGCTCATCTTAACTTGGTCATCTGCAAAGACCCCATTTCTCAGTCAGGTCACGTTCACAGGTGCTGGGGTTTAGAACTGCATCTTCTTGGGGAATACACTCCAAACCATAAAAGATGGCAAATAAGACAATAATGGCTGATAATTTCCCTCAAATTAATGTGAGACACTAAATCACAGATTCAGGGAGCTCAGAGAACACTATGCAAGATAAATGCCCAAAGAAACACTATAGCTATTCACATTATTTTCAAACTATACAAAAATCAAAAATAATAATAAAAAAAATCCTGAAAAAAGCCAGAGGGAAAAAAAAGCACCTCACCTATAGAGGAGCAAAGATAATAATTATATCCAACTTTTCCTCAGAAACCATGCAAGCAAGAAGAGAGTGAAGTGAAACACTTAAAAGTGTTGAGGAAAAAACCCCACCAACCTAGAACTCTGTACCCTGAAAGATTACCTTTCAAACGTGAAGAAGAAAGAAAAACTCAGACAAACAAAAATTGAGGGAATTGGTTGCCAGTACACCTGCCTTGCAAGAAATATTAGAAGTTCATTAGGGAGAAGGCAAAGCATATAGATCAGTAATTCAAATCTACATTAAGAAAGGAAGAGGAATAGGAATAAGTCAAGGTAAAATAAAAGCTTTTATTTTTTTCTGATTCTTAATTGATCTAACAGGTAACAGTTTGTACAAAATAAAAATAGCAATAATGTATTAGATTATATATTTTATATATACACACCTTATATACATGCTTATGTATGCTTATATACAAATGAAATGAATGACAGCAATGATATAAGGGATAGAAGGGAAGGATTAGTGTTGTTTTATTATTATAAGGTACTCACACTACCTGTCAAGCATTATAGTGTTATTTCATAATGGACTTGTTGTAAATGTATACTGCAAACTCCAGGGAAACCAGTACAAAAAGAAGTATAACTGGTATGCTAAGAAAGAAAAGAAAACAGAATCATAAAAGGCTCAATTAAAAACACAAAACACGAGATTGGGCACATTCGGAGTGTTTTGCCAGGTGTGGTGGTACACACCTGTAGTCCCAGCTACTCACGGGGCTGTGGCAGAAGGATCACTTGAGGCCAGGAGTTTGAAGCTGCAATAAGCTATACTCATGCCTGTAATAGCCACTGTATTCCTGGGCAACAAGCTGAGACCTCCCCCCTCTTAAAAAAAGAAAAAAAACCCCACAAAACATGGGAATAGAGTAGTAGCCAAAAACAGAAACAAAGAACAAGAATAACAAATGTGGTAGATATTAATCATATCATATCAATGATCAATGTGAATGTCAATCGTCAATCACCAATTAAAAGACAGAAATTTCCAGAGTGGATCAAAAGCAATATCCAACTATTTGTTGCCTATGAGAAACCCACTTTAAATATAAAAACACATATAAATTAAAAGTGAATGATCAAAGAAAAATATAGCATGCCAACACCAATCAAAAGAAAACAGGAATGGCTACATTAATTTCAGACAGAGCAAACTTCAAAGCAAGGAATATTAGCTGGGACAAAGAAGCGTATTACAGAATGATACGGAGATCCACTCTCTAAGAAGACGTAACAATAGTTAATGTGTATGTGCCGAACAACAGAGCCTCAAACTACATGAGGCAAAAACTGATGAAAAACAGATGACTCTACTATCATAGTTAGAGAATTCAATATCTCTCTAGCAGAAACAGATTCAGTAGGCAGAAAATCAGTAAGGACATCATTGGACCCAACAGCACCATCGATCACCTGGATGTAATTGACTTCTATAGACAACTTCATCCACAACAGCAAATCACACCTCCTCCTCGAGCTCACATGGGACATTCCCCAAGACAGACCACATTCTGGGCCATAAAACACACCTTGACAAATTTAAAAGAATAGAAATCATACAATGTCTGCTCTCAGACCACAAAGGAATTAAACTAGAAATCAGTAAC